TGGGATGAAATCGGATAGGGATGAACGGGTTTAAGAGTTTTTAAGAGTTTTAAGAGTTTTAGCCAAATGCTTTATAAGATAGTATAAATTAAATGAATATATTACTGATTAAAATAAAATAGAAAGTTAGAAACACACTGCTGGACTTCATACTGGGTCAGCACTTGAGCAGGCTGGAGGCCCAATAAAAATCAAATTGGCCTATACTACTAACAATGGCCCAATACCAGTCCAAAACTATGGCCCAACAATCCAAATTTCAAATACTAAACATTCTTATAATTTTATTCGTTAAGAAGCATAGCAAGGATCAAGATTCTTATCCGGTAAGTGATGGAGAAGACTTTTATCCGGTACGTGTTTACCAGATGAAAAACATTTACCAACGATTCGTTTGATGACCGAAAATATTATCTGATAAGGTAAATGATGATGGTGTTCTTGCTGGTAAGCATTAAGCGGGTAAGCGTTTGGTAAACGACTTCTAACTTTCATCTTTAAAAAAATAAATTGATATTTTTTTTTCTAAAAATAGGCATTGAGTTAACCGATCAGTTTTGACTTCAACCCTATATTTCAAAAATCTTAACCGGTCTTGGTCTTACGTATAGGTCCCAGCACAAGCCAATCTTCAGACAAATTTTTTCTTAAAATGATCTATTTTATTTATAGGGAACGTTAAATGCTATTGTCAAATCACAAAAAATATCAAGTCTATCGGCTAAAATCCCATTAGAATCAAGAACATGTGGACGTGATAATGCATCTCTCAGAAGTCGTTGAAAGAATACGTGAAATACATTTGGACAAGGTTCAATATCATATGAAGCTTACTGTCAAATAAACCAGAAACCAACACTATCTGTTTATTATTACACAAATACAAAAGCAAAATCAGACAAAACTTTGTGATTTTGCTATTTTTTTATATATTAGATTTAAATGCAAACATGTTTACATTATTTAAATGCAAATATGTTTACATTTTTAAATATCCTATATTGTATGCATTTTAATGACATGATCAAGTTATTTTAACGAATCTAATGCAATTTGGATTGAACTTGGTTCGTTTAAAAAAATATGGCTCGAAAAAAACATATATGTAACATTTGGTTGTGTTATTAATTGTGTGTAGTCAAATAACTTGTGGGAATTAATGGGAATGTAGAAAATGAAAAAGAATTTAAAGTATACGTGGGTAGATAAGATTATTTAGGCCTCTTTGGCTAATACTGAGGAATGAAAATGAAAATGACATTGAATGAATTTTTATTTTCCCGCAGTTTAACCAGTGATAAAATTTTGGACTTGTAGAGGAATGTACCCATTATATTATAGAAAATCAACCAGTTTTTTTATTTTTTTATTTTTATTGATTACTGCTTAATACCTCTAATCAAACACCCTTTAGATATATTTATTTTTAAAACGTGGTTTTTCCGTTGATTTTTTTTCTAGATTCTCTCTCTCCCTTTTACTCATTGTAATTGCTACAAACGGCATTTTCAATCTAGAATTTTATTAATTTTGAAATCTAGAGACGGTTATCAAATCAGTTCAAGATTTGGTAGTGAGAAATTTAACAACCAGTTTAATCTACACCATTGATTATTTAGGTTGAAATTGGTTTGTAAGGTTTGTTAGAATTACTCAATCCGACCCAAAATAAATGTTTACAATGAAAATGACACATAATTTTATAAATATGCAATCAGTACATTTTCAAAATAACTAAATAACATTTTTACTTTTGATAATAGAGAAATAAATTCTCTCAATCTCATAATTAAAGTTAGAATGGACATTGTTTGGCAAATAAAGCTACTTATTTTTTAAGTAATTGTTTGGATGAACATTATAAGTTAGCTTATAAGCTATTTGGAGTAGCTTATGAGAAGCTTTTTGATATATTTTTTTTAATTATAACTCTGATTAATATTAATTATTATTATTAGTTATGAATAAATATTGACGATTAATTAAAAATAAGTATTAATTATTCATAAATAATAGTTATTTATAAATACTAGAAGGGTATTCACATAATGCAGCGAGATAAATCTTCATTTTAATGTTTAGATTTTATTTTTTGTCTCTATCGATATAATACGATTTTATTTGGATTTGAGAAAGCGATAATGGTTTTATTTTTGAATGAAATATAAATTAAAATAATTTTTTTTTAAAATTATTAATATCAAATTAACTATTTAATAGTTCTCCTTTTTTTTCGTGTAACTTATTTAATTCAATTTTTTATTACAATTTAATTTAGATTTAATAACAGAGTAATTTATTTTGGTTTAACTAGAAGAGTACTCGCGCAATGCAGCGAGACACGTCTCGATTTTAATGTTCTATTTTATTATTTGTCTGTTTCGATGTTATAATACGATTTTATGTGTTTTTAAGAAAGCAATAATGATTTTATTTTTGAATAAAATATAAATTTCAGTATATAATAAAAATTTGAAAAAAAAAATATATATCAATGTTAATATCAAATCAACTATTTAAAAGTTTTCATTTTTTATGTAATTTCTTTAAAAAATTATAATTT